TTACAGACCCAGGAACTCAGCACAGAGATGGTGGGGAACCCTCATAATGGGCACAGCAGGCGTACAGACCCAGGAATTCAGCTCAGGGATGGTGGGAACCCCTCATAATAGGCACAGCAGGTGTACAGACCCAGGAACTCAGCACAGGGATGGTGGGAGGCCCTCATAATAGGCACAGCAGGTGTACAGACCCAGGAACTCAGCACAGAGATGGTGGGAACCCCTCATAATGGGCACAGCAGGTGTACAGACCACAGAACTCAGCACAAGGATGGTGGGAACCCCTCATAATGGGCACAGCAGGTGTACAGACCCCTCATAATGGGCACAGCACGTGTACAGACCCAGGAACTCAGCACAGGGATGGTGGGAACCCCTCATAATGGGCACAGCAGGTGTACAGACCCGGGAACTCAGCACAGGGATGGTGGGAGGCCCTCATAATAGGCACAGCAGGTGTACAGACCCAGGAACTCAGCACAGGAATGGTGGGAGGCCCTCATAATAGGCACAGCAGGTGTACAGACCCAGGAACTCAGCACAGGGATGGTGGGAACCCCTCATAATGGGCACAGCAGGTGTACAGACCACAGAACTCAGCACAGGGATAGTGGGAGGCCCTCATAATAGGCACAGCAGGTGTACAGACCCAGGAACTCAGCACAAGAATGGTGGGAGCTCCTCAAAATGGGCACAGCTGGTGTGCAGACTCAGAAACTCAGTGCAAAGATGGTGGGAGTCCTTCATAATGGGCTGTGAAGACCCAGGAACTCAGCACAGGCTTGGTGGGAGCCCCTCATAACGGACACCGCAGGTGTGAAGACCTAGAAACTCAGTGCAGAGATCTCACCAACAGAGTCTAGAGTGATATCTGTTGTTTGTTCTCTTCAGCATCTACCAAACATGCAAATATCAGTTTTAGGTGGACTGGCCCTTTAATACAGCCTTTTATTTCCCTTGGACAGGTTCACTTCATATAAGCCTGGTAAACATTTGATCTCTTCTTACTTAATAGAAAATTACTTTTGCTCTTCACTGTTCCCTCACTGGGTTCTAAATAGGTGAATGTCTTTTTTTCTCCGAGGTAACCCAATTATAGAAGATGCAGAGAGAAAATAGTATTAAAAGAAAAAAGAAGAGTATTTCCAGGGTCCGCTTGCCAATTCGTGAAAGACAGTCAGCTACTCAATTATCTAAAAACGGTCATCCAATCTGCCTCTCGGTGGGGAGAACTGCCAAGTCCCAGACTGCCGGGACCTACAAATTAGGCGCATTGGAGAGACGGCACTTAGCGGCCTCTTAAGCCCTGGCCTCTCGGAGGAGAAGAGATCCGAGATGAGTTTTCCAATCAGCGAGGTGAAGAATTGATTTCACGATTTGTCTTGTTAGGTGATGGATGACAAATGACATTCACCGAGCTCGGCCAAACAAAATGGCCTTTTTTTGGGGGGGAAAGGTGTGTGTGACATTTCCAGATGGAACTTTAATATTTAATTTTTATAGAGGTTAGATTGTATCTAATTGTATTTTTTTTAGTTTTGGACAGAGTGGTGAATGGTCAAAAGAGCCCCTGTCACATTTTTACTGATACCATTTATATCAGAGGTATGAAAACTCTGGCCCTCCAGCTGTGGTGAAGCTAAAACAACAAGTCTCATCATGCCTCTGCCTCTGGGAGTCATGCCGGTGGCTGTCAGAGTCTTGCAATGCCTCATGGGACTTAGTTGCATCACAGATGGTCACGTGTCCTAGTTACATGTGCCAAAATTCCAGGAAGTAAAGGGAAATCTAGTAGATCATTTTAGATTGTAAGCCCTCACGAGCAGGGCCCTCCTTACCGTCTTGTCTTGAATTTGTATTGTGATTGTAATGTCTTCCTTACAGTGACGTGACAAGGGGGGTGCAGGGGGGCCCGCACCCGGGTGACACCATTGGAAGGGTGACACCAAAATGACTCACAGTCATTTTGGTGTCACCCCCCTCTGAAAAGTCGGCCGCTCGGTCATGGACCGAACGCCCAAAAGTATCAGGAGAGAGGAGGGGACCCGGCGGCATACCTTATCCCGCCGGGTGACTGTCCCCTCCTCTCTCTGCCGGCGTCCACCACCAAGATGGCCGCCGGCAGGTATCAGACGTCATCGTGCACGCGCGTGGTGAAGTCACGCGCAGTGACGTCTCGGCGTGGTGACACTCGGTTACCGATCCGGGTGTCACCCAGCCTCGGGACGCCCCTGCTTCCTTATATTGTAAAGCGCTGCCAAACTGTTGGCGCTATAGAAATCCTGTATAACTTTAGTAAGATGCCCTTAGTAAAAATGGCCACTGTGAGAAGACTGGGGAGGAAAAGAAAAATAACGTATGTAAAGAATAAAAAGCTGACAATTATCTAGAAGAATCTGTGTGTAGATTGTCATTACTAAACATTTCTAAATGAGTATTTGTTGTAAATTCTAAGACAAGGGTAAAGTTCCTTTGAAAAATTTTCTCTCACTTCCTGCTGTGGCTATGGGACAGGAAGTGAAAGCTGTATATTGTAAAGCCCTACTATATCTAAGATGAAAAAAAAAATGAGTTTGGACTTTATACATTTTAAAGCTGATCTCCAAGAAAATAACACAATTGAAATGCTCATATTTGAACTGTTCTCTCTGCCACAAGATTTGTAACTCTGTCTGGCCACTTTTGTGATCCATACACCTTGGCACAGCCAAGCCTACTGCTAGCAAGCAAAAAAACTTTTGAAACAGGTTTAAACTTACCTGTGTCTTTGCTGCGCACTCCTGTCCGAACATCTGAAGAGTCTCGGGCGGCCGCAAAGGATCTTGGGGCGGGCGCATGCGCAATTCAGATGTTTGGCTGGAAGATGAGGAGAGACACAATGTAAGTATATGGAGCAGTGTGCACCCGCACAGACTCCGTGGGACATGAGAGAAGATGAGGACAGAGGAGCCAGCGCCGGATTTCCCACAAGGCCACCGAGGCCCGGCCTTTGGGCAGCACGGAGTAGAGAGGAAGCAAGGGGGTGGGATTCCTATATCCCGACACCTGGGACATGTTTTATTCTACATTTAGCCCTGCTTGGGGGAAGCAGGGCTAAATGTAGAGCGGGGAAGCCGCTGCTCGTTTTGTACAAGTGATCTCGGCAATGTCGCTGATATCACTTGGATGCAGCCTGCAGGTCTGTCCCATGCGTCACCGTGGGGAGGGGGGGCGCATTGAGGAACCTGGCCTTGGGGCAGCAGAGAGAGTAAATCCATCCCTGATCGGAAACCCACACCAGCGCTAGAGGGACAGCTAAAAACTACAGGAAAGAAGAAGATCGTATTAAGAGGCATCATTTAAGGTATGTCCTTACATTAACACTGTGGGGGGAGGGGGAAACAATCCTTTAATGTCACTTTAAGGTATACAGTGGTGTCACCTCCCTGCCCACAGTCTGCTGACTGGACAACAAAGGGGCAGAAATACACTCTACTCACTGTACATGGCCCTGATTGGCTCCTAGAGTTGTCTCTCCTCCTTGCAGTCTGAGGGCTGTGCAGGAGTGACAGGAGGCTAATACCAAGACAGATTCAAATACTAATACTAGCTGTCTGTACAATTACATTTAATTATATTTTCATGTATTAATTAATACATGACAGAGCACACTGGCTTACCAAGTGACAGTTAAACTTTGCTCCAACCTATAATAGAGCGACTTCTGATCCTGCTTCTTGATTGGATGGAGATAATTGTGGGTGACCCCTGTGGGTGACCCCTGTGGGAAATAGACTCAGGACCCCAGCGCCGGAATTGAAAGCTTAGGTCTTCCCATCTGAAAGGGTCGGAAAAAACTGTCTGGACTTCTCATAGTAACCAATTAGCAATTGCTTCATCAACCACAGACAATGACAGAATGTAATTGGATGAAAGGATCTGAACAGCCCGTCTTTCACTTTAAGGGCTTGTTTACACCAAGGCTGTGCGTTAATTGCACCGTTCCTTGTGATTAATGCATGCTACTGCACAATGCACCTACCGTGTGTTGCTGTGTGGACGGTGCGTTGCATTGCCATTCATTTGAATGGCACCTCAAACGTACTGTACCTCCCGCCCGCAATGTGCTCGACCACAACAATAATGTTGTGAGTTGTGGTGTAACAAAAAAAAAGTAGTGCATGCATTTGGGGTGCCATTCAAAATTGATGGCAACGCAACGCACCTCCCACATAGTTCCACACAGAAGGTGCATTGTGCAGTATTGTGCATTAATCACAAGGAACCGTGCAATTAACGCTCGGCCTCGGTGTGAACGACCCCTTAAACTTCCCTCAATGGGCCTTATGTATCAAACCTGATTGAGCACAGCAGGTACCAGTGGCGTAACAATCACCATAGTGTCCCAGACGGCCGCTATGGGGCCCAGGGCACATTCCTGATGCCCTGCGGGCCGTCTGGGTCGCTGCTGGCTGTCAGTGATCTGTGCAGCGGCGCGTTCCTCTCCACAGCCGCTGCTGAGTCAGTGAGAGCCAGCAGCGGCGGTGGAGCAGGCTGGACCCAGCAGTGGAGGAGAAGGCAGGGCCCAGGGTTGGCATCAGAGGAGGAGGCGTGGCCCAGCAATGGGGGGAGGGCCGGGCGACGGGCGGCGGAGGCGGGGCTCATCACCGGCAGTGGAGGAAGAGGAGGTGGACAGGTAAGGAGTGTGACCAGCCCACCTAAGGGTGACCCTGCAGAGCCCACCTTAGAGAGTCTATGGTGGGCTCTGCCGGGTCACCCTTGGGTGGGCTGTGTGGGATCTCAATTGGGCTCTGCAAGGGGTGTAACTAGAGATCAAAGGGGCCCCATACAAAATTTGGCTATGGGGCCCTGTGATTTCTAGTTACGCCCCTGGCAGGTATTGTGCATTAGTCACACGGAGCCATGGGATCACTGCATGTCCTTGGAGAGATCGGGCCCTGTAGCAAATGTCTACAACCTCGGAGTGACCTGCGCCAGCATTGTGTGAGCGGTGAATTTACCTTTTGTCCTCAGGTAAAGCAGGAAACCAGAAAACAGGTGAAAGTCACTGAGGGGTGACGGCACCTAGAATAGGCCGAGAAAACTTTTTTTGTGTCTAAAGACGCAGATACAAAGAGATAAAAAGCTGACACTCCATGTATTGCATAACCAGCTCAGCCGTGATGTCTCTATTCACATATCTATCAGCCTCAGGGGCTATTCTGAAAATAGCTGCAGTTTAAAGTGGATACATCCTTATAAATAATATATTAATGTTGATTGCATACATGCTCACTAATGTCATTGTGACATTTCCAGGTATTACCTCTCTCAGCGATCACAGTGCTCCCCCTGATGATGCTGCCATCTGCTTCTATCTCTACAAGGACAGAGCCATCTTTGTTCAGGAATCATCCAGGGTCACCATCTACTTCATGGACTCAGATGCTCACAGATGACACAACCACTTTAAAGGAGAACTATGAGGTGAGTGCTTTTCACTCACCTCATAGTTCTGGCCGACCTATGACAATGAGACTGTCACAGGTCGGCTCAGTAGATCGGGAGGTGAGCGCACATATACCGGCGTTCGCTCACCTCTCGATCCTGACACGGCTCTCTGCTGTAACAGGGGAGGGGCTGGATTCCCCCCTCCCCGCTCCGATCCGCCAGCGCTGACTCACAGCAAACTAATGGCATCATCTCAGCCTAGGCAAAGCCACTACCTGAAGCTCAATTTTTTTTTAACAGGCAATCAAAGATGGATTTTTATTGATGAAAGGCAGAGCTTTTCCAAAAACGGATTCCTTTGTAGTAAGTTGTGACATGTTATGAATATTCATGCAGAATGTATTTGACCTGAATGAGAAAAAATGCTTGATTCCTCATCCGTGCTTGTTGGAACTTCTTGCACAGCCTCACTGAGAAAGACAAGCACACAGTCTCATATGCATGTTGTATATGGCTTGGAGAACAGGAAGGAAGCCACAGCTGTATTCTCTACCCTATTCTATACAACAGAGTATATACCATAGATAACAGAACTTATAAACACTGCCATCAAGTGACCGAAATTGTATACTGCAGAATTTGTTGCTATAAACACAGTAATGTGTATTCTAACAATGCTGATCAGCGTGCATGGGGGAATCCCCCTCACCAGGTTACTGTAGTCGGACAGTGGTGGGTGTGCTGCTGTCAGAACTCCCAACAGTGACTGCAGCTGACTGACTTTGCTTCTTCAACAAAAGTCAATTGAAAAGTCAACTTTTATTGAACAGGAGGGTCCTAAGGGGGCCACAATCTGGTCGAATTGGGTTAGCAGGACTAATCCAAGCATTACTAGCGATTGGCTTGCCCCCAGATAAATGTTACCGTTCTTACTCTACATAGTTTAATTGTTAGTCAATTATTAATAATATTACTTTAGGCTTTTCTGCTTCACTTGCTAGATATAATGGCTGCATCTCTTCCTGCCAGGACACAGAGAAAAACAGCCTGCCAGCTCAGCAGTGCGGGCTCCTTCAGCTCCCATGGCACACCTGGATGGGCTGGTTTATATTGAGGTAGCAGAGGGTGCCTGTGGGGGTAGAAGGTCTGGTAGACCGACTCGGTGACTGGTCCACAGCAGTTATGCCACTGCCTAGTAACGCAAGATGCTGACACAGGTACAGTTGAAGAGGGAGAGCAGGTTGCAATCAGGTGACAGCCATCAATCAGGACAGTTGCTGAGCTGTTGTAACTTGTGCCAGATTTAGGCCCCATTCACACCTATGCGTATTGTAATATGCGCGTCTGTCGCGTGACCGTCACGCGGTTTTTTTACCGCGATTCGCGGTAAAAAAGTCGCGCGACCGTATCGCGATTCCAAAGGCTACTTGGCAGTATCCAAATGGAAAACGCCCTACAAAACGGACCAATACGCAGCAAAAACGCTCCGGGACCTTTTCATGCGTGGGCCGTTTTGTAGTGCGTTCGGGACGGGTGGAAATACGGACAGGTGGGAACGATACCATTGACTACAATGCTATTTATTTTTTGACCGTTTTGTAGAGCGTTCATCGAGCGTAGGACGCGCTACAAAACGGTCAGGTGTGAATGGGGCCTTACAGGAATGACAGGGCTGAGGGGGGCCCTGGGGTTTGCATGCTCTGCACAGTGATCACATGACCTCCCCATGAGATCTGTCCCTATATTGAGGCAGCTTGAGGTAGTTGCCGCAGGCGGCATCTTGTTGGGGGACAGCTGCGTGGTGGTGGTGGTGGTGGGGCAGCCACAGCATTCCAGGTTGCTAAAAGCTCCTAGCAACCTGTGACGCCCTGTGTGGCTTCCCGCCCAGCTCACTGATGTCACCAGTTGCCATGAACTGAGTGGGACACTCTGGCTTGCATCCTGCTGAGCTATTGACAAACAGTGACGTCAGCGAGCTGGGTGGATGACGGCGTGGTCCAACATCAACCCCCCCTCTCGCGCCCTGAAGGGCAAATCCCCCCACAAGAGCACATCGCCTCAGGCAGCGAATATCTCAGGGACGGCCCTGGCCCCCATAATTACTTTTTATTGCATTTTTGGGCCACATACCCATCAGAAGATCATCTGGTGCTCTGGAAGGCCAGTTCAACCCTGTATACAGATCACCAGTAGAGGGATTATTTACAAAACTGCACTGGAAAAAAACAATTAATAGAATATGGAACAGCAAGCAAGTGCAAATCACAGAGCATAATGAATTAGCAAAATAGAATAGAGGGAATTTATCAAAAGTGGAGCAGAGAGAATCTGGAGCAGTTGCTCATGGCAACCAATCAACTTCTCTCTCCAGTTTGCTCGGGTAAGATTTGAAAATGAGAGATAGAAGCCGATTAGTTATGCAAATCTACTCCAGATTTTTTCTGCTCCAGTTTCGATAAATTCCCCTCAATGAGTAAAAATGCAGATAATTATGAGATATTTAAGTCCTATGTAAGATGCAGAGAAGGAAAGGTTGTGTGGAGCAGTCAGGAACTTCGCATGGTCTGTCCTGGGAATTCTGGAAGCTCTGCGGAGCGCAGAGGAAACTTTCTACAATGTATCCAGCAGCAGGGAGGAGGGGGAGTGGGCGGGGAGGAGAGAATGGAAGGGGAGGGGCTGTCCACTCTCGAGGACGTCTCAGGGGAAAGGCGGGGTCACTCGGTGAAAGGGGCGGGGAAAGGGGGCGGAGCTGTGCTCTCCCGCATTGACACTGTAGAGTGCGGCCAGCACAGAGCGCAGTGATCCTCCTCCTCCATCACACAGTCCGGCGACGCTCCAACTTCTCCAACTAACTTTCCTCGTACTGGATCCCCGGGATCTGCCCAGGATTACACCGAGATCCAGACCCCGCACACTACTCCGCCCGATCCCTCCATTGTGGAGCCCCGAGGGAAGGGATCCCCCAGCATCCGGACTGCGGATTCCACAACTGTGAGTAACCCTGAGCTGTGTGTGAGCTGAACTCCCCTCACTGTGCCCCAGCCTGAGATTGTATCAGTGCTGGCTTCACTGAGTGCACCCCCCAGGGTAACATTATGTCAGTGCTGGCTTCACTGTGTGCACCCCCCAGGGTAACATTATGTCAGTGCTGGCTTCACTGTGTGCACCCCCCAGGGTAACATGTCAGTGCTGGCTTCACTGAGTGCACCCCCCAGGGTAACATTATGTCGGTGCTGGCTTCCCTGAGTGCACCCCCCAGGGTAACATTATGTCGGTGCTGGCTTCCCTGAGTGCACCCCCCAGGGTAACATTATGTCAGTGCTGTTTTCACTGAGTGCACACCTCTAGAGTAGCATTTGTGTCTGTGCTGACTTCACTGAGTGCACCCCTCTAGGGTAACATTGTGTCTGTGCTGACTTCACTCAGTGGACCCCCAGTATTATATTGCAGCAGTGCTGTTTTCTCTGGGTGCACTTATATTTGTTGTATCAGTGCTAGTCCCAATGTAACACTACATTGTTGGTACAGGGAAGTCCCTGAGTGCACCCCTTGTGCCACCCACTGTCTGTACTCCCTGGAGTGGACCCTCCTGTTTTCTGAGCTTGACTGTGGTGTATTCCAGTGAGTGGCCCTCATACGTCAGGCAGTACTCTTTGGGACCCCCAAGTCTTTGGTTTTGTGTCTGTGTACACTTGTATCAGAATCGTTTCCACTCCACAGATTGACACACAAGTGTTTGCAGTCCCTGTGTCCTTCCATATCAGTCTGCCTGCACTGACTGGCCCTCTACTGCCCTGATTGGACCCCTAAATCATTCTGCCGCTCTCTAAGTGCAGAACCCTGTAACCCACTTTCCAATGTCCTACTGAGCTGTGTGCCCCGTACTGCACCCACAAAAATCTATTCCTGTTCAATACACTTAATACTGCCCCCTTCCAAAATGGATTGCCTGGACTATATTCCTCCTTCTGTACCCAAGAACAAAGTGCCTGAAGTCTACTTCCTTCACTGTAACCCCAAAATAAAGTGAGTAATACTCCTCATACTGTACCCCACCAAACTGAGCAGGGGCTATATTCCTCACATTGTACCCCACCAAACTGAGCAGGAGCTATACTCACCCCACCAAACTGAGCAGGAGCTATACTCCTCACACTGTACCCCACCAAACTGAGCAGGAGCTATACTCCTCACACTGCACCCCACCAAACTGAGCAGGAGCTATACTCCTCACGCTGCATCCCACCAAACTGAGCAGGAGCTATACTCACTGCACCCCACCAAACTGAGCAGGAGCTATACTCCTCACATTGCATCTCACTGCATACTGGCTGAATGATAAATAGTAGCTCCTCCAGACAGTATGCCTAGACTGTACTTCTGACTAATGCAGAACGAGCTCCTATGTACTGTACTCTGAAACGGAGCACATCTATGAGCTATACTCCTCACACTGCACCCCACCAAACTGATCAGGAGCTATACTCCTCACACTGCACCCCACCAAACTGAGCAGGAGCTATACTCCTCACACTGCACCCCACCAAACTGAGCAGGAGCTATACTCCTCACATTGCATCTCACTGCATACTGGCTGAATGATAAATAGTAGCTCCTCCAGACAGTATGCCTAGACTGTACTTCTGACTAATGCAGAAAGAGCTCCTATGTACTGTACTCTGAAACGGAG